ACCCCCCGCCCCAACCGAAGGCATCCCCAGGACCGGTCCTTCTGGGACTCCCTCTCCTGCAGCCACCCCTGCCCGCCTTGGCCCCCCAGCGTGGTTGTGGGGGGCTGGCGTGGACAGAGCAGTGTCTGCCCATGCCACGTATCCGGCGCCCGCACCGGGCCCCGGGGCGCCTGCTGGCAGAGGTCGTGCTGACCTCTCATCTCTCACCTCCAACGCAGATACCAACGACTGCAGCCCTCCGCCTTGGTGAGTGGCGGCGGGGGGGGGGGGGCGGGGGCGGGCGGGGGGCCGGCGGCGGGGGGCGAGGGGGAGGAGAGGTGGTGATTTCGCGGACGGGCCCACGAGATGACGGGCGAGCTTGCCCCACTGTCATGCTGCCCTGCATCGATGGCGTCAACTGGTTCCGCTGCGAGTGTCCGCCCGGCTTTGCAGGCCCCGACTGCCGCATCAGTGAGGCCCGGGGCGGCCGGGCGGGCGGCGCGCTGGGGCCCCAGCCCCGGGGCCAGGGGACCACGAGGGCTCACGCTCCCTGAAGGGCGGTGTGGACGCAGCCACTTCTGGCCTCGCTCCAAGCCTCAGTTTCTCCCCCTGTCTGTGCCCTGCCGACCACCCGCGTTTGCCCCCGCCCGGCGGCCGGCGCTGCCCCTAAGGCCGCAGACTGAGGTGTTTGTTCCCCAGAGGCCTCTACCCGTCACGTCACAGGAGGGGTTAGAAGAGGGTGGTTAGCCTGAGGCCGGGGACGGCGCCAGCGCCAGGCCCAGCTCGGAGACCGCACGGGGCAGACCGAGCCCCGAGCTGGCCCGGGGGCTGCTGCTCCAACCGGCACGGCTGCTGTCCCTGCAGACATCGACGAATGCCAGTCCTCACCCTGCGCTTACGGGGCCACGTGCGTGGACGAGATCGACGGCTATCGCTGCAGCTGCCCGCCAGGCCGGGCCGGCCCCCGGTGCCAGGACGGTAGGTGGGGAGCACCGTGCCGGGGGTGGCCGTGCCAGGCGGGACGAGGGCCAGGCCGGGCTTCCAGGCCATGGCGCCCAGCGCTGAGCCCACCCCTGCTCCCCACAGTGATCGCGTTCGGGAGGCCCTGCTGGTCACAGGGCCTGCCCTTCCCGCACGGGAGCTCCTGGCTGGAGGACTGTAACAGCTGCCGCTGCCTGGATGGCCACCGGGACTGCAGCAAGGTGCCAGGGGTCCCTGCCCAAGAGCCCCCCAAGCAGCCCTGCCCTGCCTGGGTCTGAAGCCCTGGTGCCCCTGTCCGTGACCCCGAGGCTCTTCCCGTGGGACCTGGGAGCTGGTGCTGCGAGGAGGCAGGCCAGGGAAGAGGGCCTCTGGCACAGCCAGGCTCCCCGCCTCATTGTGCAGTTGGGGAAACTGAGGCTTGACCCTGCTAAGGCTCCAGGAGCCCCAGGCCTGTGAGCCACTGACCCCACCCTTCCTCGGGACCACCCTGCTGTGGCCGGGCCCTTTCCGGAGGGAGCTAGGGTCAGCCCGGGGCCCGGGGCGGTGGGCTGGCCGTGGCCCTGGACGTGCCGACCTGACCGTCTGTCTCCTGCCCGGCGCCCGCACGTGTCCGGGGTCCTCCTGCGCGTGGCCCGCGTCCCTCTCTGTGTGCGTGCCTGACCCAGGTGTGGTGTGGGCGGAAGCCTTGCCTGCTGGCCGGCCGGCCGGACAGCCCGAACGCCCAGTGCCCAGCGGGGCAGTGGTGCCGGGAGAAAGCCCCAGGCCAGTGCCTGCAGCCGCCCTGTGCAGCCTGGGGCGAGTGCGACCCCGCGGGCCCCCCGCTGCCCAGCACGTCCTGCCTGCCGAGCTCTGGTCACCTGGACCGCAACTGCGCACGCCTCACCCTGCACTTTGACCGCGCCCAGGTGCCCCAGGTAAGCGCCCGGAGGCGGCGCCCGCATGT